CATAGCAGATTTCTGCTATACTGAATTATAAAATGACATGAACAATAATAAATCTGACCTGTTTAAAATTAATAATGAGTACTAGATTAGTAAGTGTATGCTAAATTGTCATAGCAGAAATAGAAAGCCAATACAAAGATGTTCAATAATTGATAAAATGTGTATTGTTTATTATTGTGGCCATAGAAATCTTAGAAATTAGCTGTCTGTATGGTCTAAGATGACTAATGTCATAAGAATCTGATCTACTTGAAAAGTCAAAGCATGTTGGGCAACCTCAGTTCCAACAGCAGTTGGATATCTTACACATTAAAAGACCGATACTCAGAGATTGTGGTTTGCCTCTGTGTCTCTACAATTAGGCTATCCAGATTACATATGCCAATTGAGTCTTTAGAGATTCAAGTGCATAGTGACTTTACTGGAGTTTACATATATTATACCAATCATATTTTACAGGTGAGCAAAATGACCACGTAGGTGTTACTACCAGTAGGGATGAAATGGAAGTCACTATTATTAATCTATAAAATAATGACAGGTATAGTACACACTTAAGTCATTAAACTATATAAAATGGACATATTACATCATTCCTTTGAGCTTCAGCTACTGTTTCATCTATAAAATAAGAATGAAGATGTAGTTATTTCATAATGTTTTTGAGAAAATTTGAGATACTGCATGGGGAATGGCAAATAACTAAGTACTGTGTAGGTATTAATTCTTGCTGTTGCACTCACCTTTATAAAATATATTGATGAAGCAATGCATTTTTCATTTTCATTTTATGTCAAATGTTTGCTCTTTGAAGAAATCACCATCAAAGCCTAGATAGAGATTTATATATGATGTGTTTGCCCCATTGAGGGGGTTTACAGGGTCATTGGTTCAGATTAAAAACGTATATTTATTTCATCTACATAATTTATTTTACGCAAATCATCTTCCACTTATCCAATGAAGTGTTATAATTCTCTCATTTTGCAGATTATTTGGCTATAAACCTCTCAATGCTATGTCAGCCTTGATCTCCTGAATAATAGTTGTGGGTATTTGCCATATTTTCTTCACTATCAAGACAAGACTGACTCTTTCTCTGTTTATCTCTCTCTCTGTCTCTCTCTCTGTCTCTGTCTCTCTGTCTCTGTCTTTCTGTCTCTGTCTCAGTCTCTCTCTCTCTCTCTGTGTGATTTAGATTTGTTTACTTTTTGTATTGGGAGGTTCATACCCTACTGCATGGGTGTAGAGGTCAGAGAAGAACTACCATGTGTGTCCCTGGAATTGAACTTGAGTTGTCAGGCTTGTTGACAAGTACCTTTAACAGCTGAAACATCTTAACAGTCCCTGTGTGTGTTTACAAGAGAGGTGATAAGTGAGAAGATAAGTTGCAGCTATCTGTTACAGAAAGAATGCCTGGGATCCCTGTACCAATGAGGTTGAGGAAGGAGGGTTGAGAGTTCAAGGTCACACTAGGCTACACCTTGAGACTTTGTCTCAAACCAAACAAACCAGACAATATATAATACAAAACATATAACTGTAAATATGGGAAGGAAGTAGAATATAATTGTAGTAAATTTGGTTTTAGAATCCAGTCAATTGCTTGGAAAGATCTCCGGAGATCTTTATTGAAGTTATTCAGTCTAAGAAGGTAGTCCTGAGTTCTTGTTTTGGGATCTAAACAAGCTATTTCTACTTCCTGAGTACCACTTTCTCTATAAGAAAAATGAGGGATTTGCACCTGTCTCTTTCTCATCATCATTTTAATCTTGTTTTTGCTAAGTAAAATGGCTGGGGGGTAATTTCACTGGTTGTCAGATTCCAAGGGACAATTCTGCAATAAGTGAAGAAGAACCAAACCCGAGGCACTTCTAAAATCCCCTTGACCCAGTGAACTGTAATTTTTTCTGAGCCCCACCAGCTTTTATCCTTTAAACAATCTGTTCTCACTCAGTTGAGGATGATGTCAAATGCATGTTTGTTTATGAGACCACAGCTGAATCATCCAGGAATCATTCCTTCCTGGCAGAATGGGTCTGCTAGTCTCATTGGACAAAGAGCTTTAGGGGCCCATCAACAGAGGAAAGTGATGTGACTTTTAGAGAAGACCGTGTGAAGGATGATCAGCACCTACTCTCTAGAAATAAGGGCTGCTTCACTGTAGTCCTCCTCCAGGGTTGATCAGCTTCTGCCCAAACTGGCATAATTTCTGAATCTAGGCTGCAAAATTTGTCATACCTGTCCCTAAAATCATGGAAAATGACTGGGCAGGATTAAGTTGGTGGCATCTTGGGGCACAGGGCACTTCTTGAAGTATGATGAGGGTCCCACAAGCTAGAAGGAGGCATCTGAACAGCTTTGTGTTTTCAGCTGCAAACAGAAGTCTCTGCAGAAGTAAATCAGTCAGAAATTGTCTGTTTCCTTCTCTACAGCAATGGAGCCAGGCAAAAGGCAAATTAGAAGATTTGGAACCAGGCAGGCTGGAAGTAGCATGACACGTTTGAAATATTCATTTGTTAATTAAACACTGGAGTGGCTAGTAGATTGGAGTTTAGTATGCTAAGGAGTGAAATGAGATGACAACGCTGGAAATGTTCTCCAAGGTCCCCAATCCCCTGGTTCTAAGGAATTTTGTTGCTGTTTACTCAGTGTTTGCAAGTCGAATTGCAGGCAGTTTTATAGTACTTCACATCTGAGGTGATTTTCTGAACTAATTCCATTTCAAGCCAAAGCAAACACCTGGATACTTTTCTTTCCATGTGTTTCCAAACGTCTTTGGCTCCCCTACTCCTCTTTTCCCCGTTCCGAGTCTCTGATTTCCTGGCCCTGCCTTCTGTGATTCTGTGTGCCACTCTTGTTTTAGTTGTTGGTTCTAGAATGAATAGAATCAGAATTACAGATCTGGTATCTGGAAAGGATGGCTGCTATCACCTGATCCATGTCTGTTCTTGAAGCTTATGCTAAAGCCAGGGTGAATCTGTATCAAGGAAGCTGGGTCTATATTGGTTCTGACTCCTTGCAGCTGCCTGTCTCCTTGTGCCTTGAATAATCACAGGTCAGGACCATTTCAGCAATCCGATACTGACATACGCAAGAATAGAGCAAATACCCAACACCTTAGGCTCCATCCTTGTTGATACTTTGAGTTCTTCTCTAATTATGAAGCTGTTGGTTCTTTTCTACCCATCTGCAATCTTGTCCTTGCTGTTCTAACCCATCCAGGAGGAGATTTGTATCAAATGGAAAATATAACAGCATGGGCACCTTTTCAGGTTGTACCTGAGTAATCCTCATTCTGTGTCTCTCGGCAGTATGCATTAGAACAAATTATCTGATGCAACATAAACAGTTCCACTTAATGCAGAATCTGTTTCCCTTGTTTGCCGAGTTGAAAGGAGGTAGTTCATTATATTTCAGTAACGTCTAATAAATAGAAAGTTCAATTAAAGAGCTTGGATGCTTTTCAAAGCACACTTTCAGCACCCTCCCTTCTACAGAAACAGGGCCCAGACTGTATAGGGTTGATTGGAGTCCATGAAAAACTATATGTACCCACAAAAGAACCAAATAACTGCATCTGTATACACATATAGAACCCCATACATATAGTTTATGGATGTAGATACACAGTTTATGAAAACAGCACCACCCTGAAACTAAGACATGGACTTCAAGGGCCACTCAGTTCTTTGTTCAACCTCTCAGACTTTTATTGTTCCCACTTTCTCAGGCTAAACATTTGCTTTAAAACTAACTTGGCACTGTATGAATATACTATCATGCCTTTTAATTTAGTAGATTTTCGAGATTAGTGAAAGGCACTATTTGACATCATTTAAATCTCAGCTTTTAAGACTTGATGGGAAACGAGAAATGATACAGATCATCTGTAGAATACCCCCCAATCCAAGAAACAAACAAACAAAAATAGGCGATTGGGAATACTGATTTGTCAACATGTCATTCCAGCTAAAACCAAGAAGATAACTGTGTAGCAATAGACAAGTGGGTCTGGGTACCATGTGAGTATAGTAATTATTACTCATTTGAAGCCAGGGAAAACACACACCATCTTTAAGTAGAGCACGATTGATTAGTCTTTGCCTCTCCTACTCATAGAATAAACTCAGGTAAAGTTCAGGGATTCTGTCGTCTAGGCCGGTTTCCCGGCTCCAGGCTTTTCATGAGGGAGTGATAATATTGCTACACTTGGCTATCACCAGGTGCGTGGCTGTGGTCCAAACATCCTATCTTGGCAATAGGAAAAAAGACCTCCTCTCAGTCTTTCTCATAGACCGAGCAGGAGCAGAAAGACCAGGATCTGTGAATTCAGCTCAGAACCTAAGTATGTAGAAGAACATGGTTGTGACTGCTTGTTCCAGTCATGGCATATGGTGCAGGGAAGTGTCCACTTTAGAGCATAGATCTGACCTGGTACCCCCATTTTGCATTTCTGGGTTTCTAAAAGGAAGTTTGAAGGTTAACAAAACCAGCAAGGTAAATGGGAACTCTGGTCCCTGAGCCCTCATGGAACATCTTTTGGGTTCTCTGCAGTTGGAGGCTGTCCTTGAAGCTTGAGTATCTTTATTCTTACACTCATCCCAGGACCATTTTGAAGAGACCTGGGATCAGGTTGTCTAGGGGTAGGGTGGGGTGGGAGTATAATATTTACCCCAGGAAATCATAATAAATCACTATCCAGGCTCTGATCCAGGAGAACAGTGCTAATGAAAATGACGCTTTTCGTAGGTGCCAACAGTATCTTGTCCTAAATCTCCTCAGGCTCCCTCCTCCATTACATGGCTCTCCCAGGTGTCCCAAAACAATCTGTTGCTGGTCTCCATTTGCATCCCACCACCCCAGCCCACAGTCAGCCAGCCAGGAAGCCAGCCAGCACCTTTCCAGCCCACAACAGCTCAGCACCTTCATTCAAGCCTCATTTCACTGCTGCTCCTCAGCAACAAATAGGACAGCACCCGCGCCGCTTATCAACTTACCCCAGGCCAGGAGCTTTCTTCAGATGTGTGCTGTCTGGAGTCCGTGCACCGGGGCGCGTGGTGCGACAGCCTTACCGGACTCGTCTTCCGCTGCGCGCAAAAGGCAGCCGCCTGGGACAGTCCCGGGCCTGGAGGCTGCCGAGTGGGTGGATGGTTGAGCACAGGCAAAGGGATCAGGGTGCTGAGAGGGGCCCAAGGACTGACTCCTACCTGGGCTTCCCTCTTTGCTCTTCAGTTATTGCCAAACTTCCCTCTGACTGGCCAGACCTCCTCACCTTTCCCCTTCGCCAGTGCCCGAAACTCTTCTCCACCGGTGCTCTTGTCCTGCTCCCGCTCGCCCTATCTCGGCTCTTTCTCCCAACCTGAGCCCCTTCAAACACACGCACCCCTTTCACGCGGCAAGCCACAAACAATAAGAGCAAGCGGAGAAGCCAACACCGGGAAATTGAGGATAGCTGACACCCGGGTATGAAGAGGAGCGTGTGTGGAGGGGTGTGTGTGTGTGTGGAGGGGAACCGCATTCACACTCTTACAGGCACCCTCAAGCTAGGTAGCTGATGGGAGATCCAGCCACCTCTCCAACCCCCCTTTCTAGACTAAAGGTTTCTGTCCTCTACTGCTGCTGCTTCAGGAAAATCCTATACCAGCCAAGGGGAGAGAAAAGCAAAGAGGGGTGGGCAGGGGAAAATCAAGGAGGCGCGCTCCCTTTCTCCTCCCCACCCCTAGATCCCAAAATGTCCAACCCTGAGCTCTTCTTTTCCCTTCTATCTGCTCCAGGTTCTCATCTGCTGCTCGTCTCCCTCTCTGTTTTGGGGGGTGGCTGAGAGCTGTGGAGAACCCGTCGCGGTTGAGTGTGTGTGTGTGTGTGTGTGTGTGTGTGTGTGTGTGTGTGTGTGAGAGAGAGAGAGAGAGAGAGAGGGGGGGGGTGAGGAGAGAGAGAGAAGAGAGAGGAACAGTGGTTGGCGAAAGCACCTCTCACCTCCCCAGCCCCTGGCCAAAGCCTAGCTGGCGGTCGCCTCACAGCAGAGGCGGGCGGGGCGGGGAAGGCGGGCAGGGGGGAGGGCAAGCAGGAGGACGGGGCAGCCTGCAGGGGCAGCCGCTCCTCCCTGCTCTGTAGCTCGGTGGCCAGGGGTGGAAAGAAGCCGCAAGCCGCAGCCGCAGCCCCAAGTCAGCCCCCGCTGCCCCGTCCCACCGTCTCATCTCTTCCCCCCTCGGTACGGAATTTTCTGTTTCGTTCGTTTGGTTCCCCCAAGACTCCCCCTCCCCTGGGTGGTGGCAGAGACCCGAGGGGCGAGGGGAGGCTGAGCGCGGGTGAGGGGAGCGGGTACAGGAGCGCCTCTGGCGCCTGGTTTACAGAATCTTCCTTTTACCCATTTATCCAAGTGTCTCCTGTTTTGGGCAGTGACCCCTACCCGTCCATCTCAACTAGGGCTCTGCGTTAGTGGCGCCTGGACTGTGCGGGTCATCCTGGAGGAAGAGGAGTTGATCAGTTTGGAGCGAGGGCCTGTGGCCCGCGGGACAGCGGAACAGGGGGCTCTGTGTGGTCAGGCTGGCATCTTCTAGAGCCGGTTTTATCTGTCCGATCCAGTTTTACCTGGTGCCGGCAGCCCCGGAGCGCAAGATCCAGGCTAGACTGAAGCAGAGGGTGATAGCCTTGTTGTAGGATTTGGAAGCAAGTTGCTTAGTTTTGGTCTCAGTGGCTGGGGAGGGCAGTGGGGGAAGGGTGGTATCACTGGGCACTTGGTCGACTCTTAGATCTTTATGTCTTCAGGTCACTTGACACACCTCTCTGTTCACTCCGCAACCCCTTTGCACCTTTTACCCTGTTCTGAAGGTCTCCACATGCTAACCCTTTAAAATCCGTCTGTAACCTGCGGAATGGCCCCACCCCCACCACAAACCTGAGACTTCTACTTGAACCTACAGGCACTTTTGGTCTCTGCCTGCAGTATTTCAAGACCCTTCCCACCGGATGCCCAGATCTCTGCTCTGTCTCCTTTCCCAGCTCTCTCTGGAAAATGGAATGCATGCAAAGCGCCGCTTTTCTGGATGCCAAGCTGGTACCCCAGGCTTCACGGTTTTTCCCGTGCCCGCGTTCTCAGAACAACCCCAGCTTTAAAAAAGCTCAGCTGTACTTCTCGCTGTTGCCGAGAACACACACCGTGAGCCTGAGCAGACTTTCTGAAAAAGCCCGAACTGCTTCCCTTGCCTAAACAGCCGAGGGGTTCCATTATAGTTCCTCTTTAGCTGGGATTGCTGGTGTTCGGTGGGAGAACTAGCCACTTTCCTCTTGGGTCACTAAGAAAGACGCTTTCCTGTTGTCCTTTGATCTCCTAGCAAGGACGTGGTCCAGTATCTTGGAGTAGTAAGCTTTTGTGTGGAAGGCAGACATCGAAGAAGAAAGATATTAATTACTTTGAGGCATTTAAGAGTCCGGAGCCTGGCAAGGGTGAGTGTAGAACTTTACTGTTTAAACACTCCAGGACGTGTTTCTAAAAACTGATTCAGGGGATAGGTTTTAAAAAGTGCTTGATTCTGAGACTTTTCTGCCTTTTCCCCCTGTTCTTAGGCAGTTTTACTGTGACCCAGTAAACTCTAACATTCAGTTTTCTATCCAAGAAATACATATGTCGTAATTAAGAGACTCTTTCCTTTGGTTTGCAGGGTAAGTAGAATATTCTGGCTATGGACAAGAGTTTGGGGGTTCCAACTTGCCTTGGCAGCTTCCCTGCAGCTGAGGCTTAGTCTCCAAGCCCAGCATACTCAGTCAGAAGGAAAATCCTGTTCTTGAGAGCTGTTTTCTTCAAAGGTCCTCTACACACATTGATTGTTTTTAACATATAGGAATTATGTGTGCTTCCAAATTTTCCAATTTCGCCGTAGACTGTGGTTAAAACCAAAATTTCTCTATTTGAGCCTGCCTCATTCAGCTTCTACACCATCCTCTAAACTCTTCCAGATTAAAAAAATACATGAGCAAAATGATACGCCAACAACAATTCAAAGCTCTAGAATCTCCGAATGAATTCTAGAACAAACTTAGTGGGTGCTCTCCTAGTGTGAAGCTATTTTAAGCAGATGCCCAAGGCTTTGTTGGAGCTTCTCCTCAGCCCTGGGGCTGCTTGGCTTGTAGTCTATGTAGGTAGGATAATATTTCACCTTTCTACTTTTGGTGGCTGTGAGCATGTGTCTGTTAAAATATCCCAGGGTTGTTTACAACAAAAGGCCATATCTACAAGAGAGGTCCAAAGCCAAACTGAAAGCAGCTGTGTAACTCACCGAAGCCCACATCTAGCCAACTTATAGACTAATTTCCCTCCATGGCTTGTTGTATTCAAATTTCTTGACAGTTATGGCTGTCATATCGTAGCTGTGACTTAACAATTCGGGTAACTTTTCTTTTCTTCTCACAGCCTTGGTTACAGTGGTAAATGGCATATGTAGATCCAAATTTAGTGTAGGATCATGGACAAAAAGAGATTGATGTGAGGAACCCAAAAGATTGATGTGAGGTTTCCCAACTTTTATTAAGAGTTTCTTAGCTTTGATACTACTCACATTTGGGGCCCACTGATTCCTTGTTGTGGAGATGTGTTGTTCATTGTGGGATGGTTAGCAGTGCCATTATGCTTTATTGTCTATTTCACAATAGCAATCTGGTCCCTTCGCCCTTCATGATAAAGGAAACGTCTCTATACAGCAGCATATCACTTCCATGTTGACAACTGTTCTCATTTAAGGTAGTGTCCTACTTTAAAGAACGTATTTATCTCACTTCAACCTACATGGCATGCCTACACCTTGTGTTGTAGAGAGTCTTAGAAAATATTGGATATTTGTGAGAGAAACAAATTAATCAATTTTGGCAAATGATTGAACTCATTGATTTCAGCATTGCTACCTTCACATTATCATTTAACTTTTGGTAAGGGTACACTACCACTAGTGTGTTGATTATAGCAAAGATCTTTAAGGAATAACACCAGCATAATGCTTTCTTTTCCCTGCAAAACAAAAGGTTACGGATTTTCATAGATAACCAGTTTCTGGACTGAATTTAGTCTAGATTTCTCATTAATTTGCTATCTGTCTCCAAACTGTGACTTTTTCATTCAGATTCTGACCTAGAGATGTAGATCTTTGTCTTGTTATTTACCATAACCCTACATGAAATTTCTTATGACTGCTCTAGATATGGTGCTTGTATCTTAACAAGGTGCCTAGCATCAAAATGAGCAGAGCATTATGAAGACTGTCATCAGTTGAACACTTTGAAAGCAGACGTTTATTTTCAAGGAAGCAGATCCTAGCTATGTGCCTGTTAGTGAAAAATCTCACCAATGACAAAAGCAGAGGGGACAGAACAGAATGTAAGAAGAGGTTATTCTTAAAATACTGTGGAGTGGTGAAAAAGTATCTTGGTGTGATTGTAGGTTTTAACACCCAGCACTATGTCTGCCCCAGGAAGTCAAACAACACTAAAGTGAATTGTGGGATTCTGATGAGAAATTCTGCAAAGCCAAGTGCAGGAGGAAGTGTGGAATGTCTGTTTTAATCATGAGCAAGCTATTGCTTTACAAAATAAGGTTCTGGTGAGTCAGGCTTGCATTTCTTGCTTTGGACAACTCCTAGTCAATAACATATAAATATGTAGAAATGTGTCACTTGTAAAGACCAACACATGGAATAATTACCACATTTAAACTGCATATTCATAAGACATAATCCTCTTGCTGAGGCTAATTATTTATTTAATGAAAATTTTCCTTGAATTGGGGCCATGAATGACAGTAATTGAAAATATATTTTATTTTCAAAGGTATATTCAAGCTTGTATCAGAGCAGGAATCCTGTAATCAAGGAATGAGGACTTCAGTTAAATAGTCATTAAGATGAACAAAAGAAATGTAAATAGAAACACAGTTAATGGTTTAGCTAAGGACTTCCTTGTGCTCAGCATTAAAAAGAATGCAAGAGGAACTGCCCTGAGCAAATCTGGAACATGGAATCCGAGAATCACAGATTCTAACCAAACTTTAGTCACTGAAAAGGGCTTTTCCTGAGGTTGGATGGCAGTAACTATTGAAAAGGCAAACTCTAATCAGGTCTTGTTGCTCTGTTACTGTTTACTGAGTAGCTTTGGAAATGGCATGTATGGCCTTCACTTTAACTGCCCCTACTATTGGGTAAGAAATACGGATCCAATTTCATTCTTTTGCTTGTAGATATATAGTCATTTCTGAATTGTTTGCTCAAGAAACTACTCTTTCTCCCCTTTGAATGATCTTGGTACCATGTCAAAAAAATTAATTGGACTCATTTCTCTTCTGATTACACCTTCTTGAGTAAAGTTTGTCCTATCCAGACATTTCAAAAAAATAAAAATAAATTGGTCATAAACATGTTGCTTTTTTTTTTCTGAATCCTTGATTCTATTCCACTGGTCTCTATAAATATCTTTATACCATTGACAAACTCTTTTGATTACTAAAGCTTGCATGAAATTTTGAAATAGGGAAGTCTGAATCCTCCAACTTTAGTCTTTTTTTGATGGGTTGTCTCTTTGGGTATCTCCCAATTCCATATAAATTTGAAGGTCAGGATTTTTATTTCTTAAAAAATTCATTAAATTTTTAGTATTTATGACACATTCTTAGATAGTTTTGGGAACTATTTCTTTTTTTTTTTTTTTTTTTTTTTTTGGTTTTTCGAGACAGGGTTTCTCTGTGTAGCTTTGCGCCTTTCCTGGAACTCGCTTTGGAGACCAGGCTGGCCTCGAACTCACAGAGATCCGCCTGGCTCTGCCTCCCGAGTGCTGGGATTAAAGGCGTGCGCCACCACCGCCCGGCCGG